GACAACATCAAAAAAAATTTGGCTAAAAGAGAGCAAAATGAAAGACAATATTTTTTTAAAAATTAGATGAAGAAAGCAAAAGAGACGATAATCCAAGAAAGATATTAATAACAAACAAAGAGTGAAATTGAATTCTTGGTAGAGTAGGAAGAAAGGAAATTTTTTCCAGTGATTGTAAAGATGAACTTCCTGACTTTGTGCATGATAGTGTAGTGAGCCTGCTATTTATAATGCTGATAAGATATATTGAAAATGAATTTCTCACAATCAAAAAAATGAAAAGGGGGTGAAATTATGTCAATTGGAGTGCTGTTCCATTTAATGTAAATAGATATGGATTGCCAAAAAAAAAAAATAACAGCTGAAGATTTCATTACAGATATTGATAAAGAAATTGCTGAACAATATCACAAAGCTAGTTTAATAAAGCATGCCCTTTGAAACACGTTATGAAATAGTAGAATGATATTAATCACTTTTTAAAGATGAAGACCAAATAAAAAACCTATTAACATCAATTAAAAGGGCAAAACAAATTAGCCAAAAAATCACAGAGGAAGTCTTAAAAAAAACTTCCCAAAAATCATTAATTAAAACTTAATGAATTGATTTGAGAATGTAAAAGCAAATAATTTCACTTCAGTGTTTTACAATGGCTGATGAAATTAACAAAGAGATTAATGTAAATAGATTTCAACACCAAATAAAGTCCAGTGTAGTTCTACAAGAATTAAAAGAACAAGCAGCCTGAAATTCCTACCAAGACTATCTCCTTGAAGAACAACAAACGGAACAAGATTATTACCAACTTTGAGAACAAGAATCTGAAAGATTAGCTTACAAGAGAAAGCAAAGAGTCCAGCTGCGCATAACCTCACTAATTGATGAAAAAAGACCATCAATAAGCGAAAAAGAGACAAAAATTACCACCCCGATCAAGAAGAAGAAAAACTAAAAACTGAAACTGAAGATGAAGGTTATTATTTTGAGGAAGAAGAAAGTACTACTGTTGATAATAATCCTCCCACTGAAGAACCCAAACAGAACAGCCTGTTATAGTTGTTACTGATAATCCTTCTGTAACCTCACTACCTTCAGAAGGCCAACCTAGTCCAATCCATATCTCTCAAAAATAGTTGAGGCTAAGTATAAGGAGAAAATCAAATTAGAATTACTGACTTATCTCTGGAATATCAAAATTGGGAGAAACAATTAAGTAAATTAAAAAGTGAGGAAACTATTAACCAGTTTGTGCAAGAGTTAGGAAAAGAAATTAATCATCCGAGTCAACATGTTACGGTCGGATGGTCTGGGGTTTGGGAGAGCGATTAATCTTTCGCGTAGGGGTTTCTTCCGATCGGGGGTTATTACCAGATTAGCTTCGTGCTACCGCCCTTAATATGGTAGATTTTCAATTAAGACTGAATTCTAATCTACAAGTGACCTATTTAAATTAAATGCGCGCTTCTCAACTCCCTATCCGAGCTTCAGATTCCAAATAAGGGTACCCAATAAAATAACAACAACAATTATTATACTGCGGAATCGGAGGGGAATAAATTCTATTTAATATTAAACAGGGCCATCTTCGATTTGGTATTTCGACTAGTCGGGTTCCGTTACTTGTCTCAGACTAATTAAACAATTTTCGCTTCAATAAATAATTATTGGCTCTCGTTCCTCAAATAAGAGTAATAGATCAACGGACAACTTATACAGCTTAAATGAGCTGTTTACAGCTTGAGTGAGCCATTTATTAGTGTGTCCGGTCAACGATGAAAGAAAGTAAAGTTTCGATTTCAAAGGGAATAGTTTATTTGATTATTATTCCATGGAGCGGGAATTATTGTTCTAATAACCTGAACAATATTTTTATAACATGAACACAACATATAGAACATTAACAACATGAGAATTTGATGATGGGATAAGGGCCGCTTATATAACTAGCGATTAGCAAAAATTGAAACAAAAGATATCAACATAGAAATTTTTCAAGAACCAGTAGATTCTAAGTTAACTAGTGGCGCTGGTACTGATGCTCAAAATACCTATTCTAAGATCATGGGATCTGCATGACTGCGGAGGAAGATTTATGGTGACTTACTATCAGATCGGCTTGCCGTAACAAACAACCAGCCCTTACTACCTCTTCTTTCTCTGATTTTGGAATAAAGATGGTTGGCTGATTGTTAATAATGGGATGAATCTAAACTTATAATTTACTGAGATTAAATTGCTGACAGTTTCAATGTTTATTATTAGGGATGCAAAAGCAGAAATTAATTATGAAAAATAGTATATTAGTATACTTGTATGTATAAAATTTATATTGGTTTTGGGCAAGTAATATCTTTGAATTTGTCTCTAACAAATGGGCGAATATTATGATAAAAGATATTCTTGTCTTTCGTAATCCAAAGGAGGAGGGGTTAGGACTAGGATGGAAAAGGATTTAATCTCTTTGGTAATTTCGGGAACAGTTGTTTTAGAAATTAAATTCAGTAAAAGCACCATTAGCAACCATTTGAGCTTGACAACTCCAGGATTAGCTGCTTCAAAAACAAAATGTTGATACTTTTGTAAACCACTCAATTTCTTAAAGAAAATTCCCAACACAGAATTAAGATTCAAGTACTGAAAACCTTTTCCATTGCCATAATATTTTTTTCACAACCTCAACAATATGGCCTACGCAATCTACTGTTGTTTTGCGGTATAGTTTTTTGATCAATCCAAAACTATCACATTTGAATTTAGTATGTCCAGGCACCATAAAATTCAACTCAATATTTTCATAATAACCGCAAATTACTAAATATAGGTAAAATCAAATAATGACGTTATTTTTATTCTGACCACCCGCATTATCGCAAGTAATCTTTAGACTTTTCACCTTTATTTAATCTCTTAATTCCGTCGAAAACTATGCTTTAGCGTGCCATTAGGACCTTTGCCTATTATTTCGTTCTCATCGAGAACGTAATCAATTTGTTCGCGTACCGCTTCATCTTGAATACCAAATAAATGCACTTTACGCGGGCTAAGATAATAGATCTTACTTACCTGTTGATCAGAATGGAGTACGTGAACATTTTGTGCTCAATAATAACTGTAATGAGCAGTAGCATCAACGCTACAATAGTCAACTTTACCTCTTGTTATAAAATGCTCATCTACCAATTTTCTCTGTTGTTCTGCTAATTTCGTATTTTTGTTGTAATAATTTCTCTCTAACTTAGCCTTAACCAGATGTTCTTTGTACCTTTTTAGTAAATCTTTCGCTTCTTCTTCCTTACGAGCATTATACTGTAAGCCGTTCCGAAAATGTTGGCACGAGTCACATACGGTAAATCCGTTTTTGGGCTCATGATTTGAATATAATAATAAGGCGTTAATTGGTGCCATAACTTACGGAACGCACCATATTTTAACAATTTCAACGTGCTATCATTTTCCAGACCTGCAATAAAATTGCGATAGACCGATTTGTAACTCATTTCAGCCGGCAAAAGTGTAAGCGATGAATAATTCGGTTGACGTTTCTATCAGGACTTGGTAATCCATGAATTTCAGCATAGTTTTCAAGAAAATTCTTCACTGCGGTAGCAACAGTTATATCAATGGTTATTTTGGTTTTCCATCGCGGCACTCGTTTGATATTACCATGAACACGCGGTTACCATTTGTCGATAGGTAATCTCTGACATTCTCGAAGTGAGTGCGGCCAATTCCTAACATGTTTTCCGACAAAGTGGCATATTGCGATCTCAATAATAAAATGTTCTCTTATTAGTACGTATTTTTTTTTTAAGACGTCGGCTGGCAGTTATTTCTCCACCATTTATCGCTTTCAATCGAGCCATTACAAATATATCTTGCTCGGATCTACGTAATTCGGCAAACTTTTCTCTCGGAATCAACCACAACCTAACGTATTGCTTTTTCATATTCAGCGGAGCCATTATAAATATTTTTCATATATACTTAATCCTATAGAGTCGTCCCTCGTTTATATCCCCACCTCGAGACCGAGACTTTTTGGGGATATATCTGAAGCCGGGGATATAACTGAAATATATTTATTAATTGGGTAACACAAGCAATTTTATTGGGTAATATATTCTGTTAACAAGGCCATACTTTAACAATTCTAACGTGCTATCGTTTTCGAGACCTGTAATAAAATCACTTATAACTCGTTTCGGCTGGCAAAAGTATAAGCGATTGAGTATTTCGGTTGACGTTTCGGTGGTCCATGAATTTCAGCATAGTTTTCGAGAAAATTCTTCACAGCTGTTGCAACGGTTTATCAATTGTTATTGTTTTCCATCGCGGCACTCTTTTTACATTACCATGAACGCGCGGTATATACCATTCGTCTCCAAGTGATTTCGAAGTGAGTGCGACCAATTCCTAACATATTGAGATACGTTTTTCTGACAAAGGGGCACATTGCGATTTCAATAATAAAAAGGTTTCTTATTAGCACACCTTTTCTTTTAAGACGTCGACTGGTCCACCATTCATTGCTTTTAGCTGGGCCATTAAAAATATATCTTGTTCGGGTCTAGAGAGAGCTTGATACGCTTCACGTAAGTCAGCAAACTTTTCTCTCGGAATTATTTTTGAGCAACCACAATTGCAACCTACCCCTAAGAAACGCATGGCTTTTTCATACCCAGTGGAACCATTATTATTATATTCAGTACTTTTCATATATGGTAATCTTATATATAATTTTATTGACTTTATTTGTAGCGATACGTACGTGATTATTCAAATGAGATGAAATCCACAAACAGTAAATTTATTACAAGTTACATAGAAGTCCTAATTACATATATAAACAATCTCTAAGTGTCACTATCTCTATTGTGGAATTATCTTGCTTACAGAAAAACACCTAACCCACTCATTTACACCAAACAATGTGTGACTGCTTTCGAAAATGCAGCAATGCAGTGAAAAAAAAAGATAACATTGTATGAATGCCAAACATGAAGAAGGAGGTGAATCTCGGCTACAACATGCAACAGGAATTTACAAAGAATTATAAGGCGAAAAATTGCGCCATGTATCTGACAGAAAAACTATTAACCAATATTTGGACAAGGAAGGAATCACCTGTATGTGATTTACCCAAGAGGAAAGGTCAGAAAAAGCTTGTTGGCGGAATCATTCAGGAACAAATCAACATGTTCGTTTGACTTTACTATTACAGCCAAACTAATTGTCGACATGCACTCTACGTACACCTCGTGATTTTATGGCAATCAACCAATAGTGTGACGTAACACACGTTGAACGCGCAAAACCTCTATGTACGCGTTGCTCGACACTGATATAACTTCTGCCATCTTAGTGTCACATTCTGTGAGTATTTGGCAACTTGAACGAGATCTCATTGCAGTTGTCAGTTCCCCGAAAGAATGGTCATATCCCGGATATCTCGAGGCCATGAAGCCTCAGTTCAAAAATATCGCTAAAATTGAAAAGTTTCAAGAGAAATTTCTGTAGACGTATATGCTTATGTAGATCGTCGCAGCGAGATTTGTTAGTCTGTAAGTTGCACCACGCTGAAGCAGGTAACGCCCTCGGTTACAACGTGTAGCAAGTGCTGACGATCAGCATACCTAGGAAGTTTCACCAAAGTAACTTATTTATCGTTTTTAAGAATAATAGGCGAGAAGTTACCGAGTTCTGGGATCAATTTAGAAAGAAGGTGGAGCTACAAAAACAATGGGTATATAATAGTATACTATTTACTTCGTCAGATTTCACTTCGACTCTGCCAAGAATCTCATTAAGTTGTGTGAGCAACAGTTCAATACCAGTATACATCAAGAGGGTCAGTTAATTGGACATCTGTCGAACGGACAAGATGACAAGTAGACGAGAAAAATGTATCACACATAGGAAGGCGTGTCAAATTCAGTTATGTACCAAACTTTGATCTGGTAGTGCTTGTAAAACTGAGGATAATGAGAAACGACAAGGAGATGACTATCCAAAGTCAAATCCCGCAAAATTGACGCTAATGGCCAGCTGATGGCCATGTACATAAATATCAGGATGCCGATGTAATTGACTGAATTGTATACTTCAAACAATACCTGCAAAGCAGCTAATTCTCTTCTTATTACCTGCAGGAAGTGATTACAGACATCTTGGGCAACGCCATTGAATGCTTGGAGGCGATGAAAACAGTTTGTTCAACCTATGTAAAACAAGATCCGTTTGGGGATTTAATTGACCTTCGCCGTTTCTCAAGGTGCTTCCAAGATCAGCAGCGGAATTAAGAATCGACCTGTTTAGATGCAGATATTACTCGGCCAAAAAAATTATACTATTATGGGTTTTTGCTGCTGTTGTTGCAAATCAACTTGATTTTCTCAGTTTAAGTTGTAATTTGATTAAGAAAAAAAAGGGGTAAGACCAATTTGTGGCATTGAACCCTGTGGCGTCATGTTCACTTTGGTTTTGTTGCATATTACAAACTCGGTAACTTTACACGTTATTTTGTAATGTAGAAATTTTGTACACAAAGATGCATTGATTGGTAAGTCAACCTATTGGACTATATTTTTATTTTTTATTTAGTAAATTTTGAGACAGTTATTCTAAGCCTATAATTATCCGAGAATATTATATAAAATGCAAATATAAAGAAAAGAGTATTTTAACCCGTATCAAGTAAGCAAGAAAAAATAATAACACGCTCACATATTATTGTAACCAATTTTTTATTCAGGCTATAAAAACGGTTGTCAGCGCCATTATTTCGCTGGACTGTATTAGTATCGATGCTGTGCAAGCCTCCTGCCTATGTATTATTGCTAATATATTTTAATAATATAAATTCATCGAATATTATAAACCATTTATCAGCGTAATGAATCATAACACGTCTTAATAAACACTGTCCCAAGACTTTTTTGGATCTCTCCTGCCCACCTTCGCGTTAAGAATGTCAATCTCCGGTCTAAACACCCATTCTTGCTTGTACATTCTGATTCGCAGCAGTGACATTCTCCTGTTCTTGTACATTCTGGCGCGGTTATGATCTACGTAAAGTTCTGACTTAACTCGGTCTGGTATTCTCTCTGTTATATTTGTCTTTTTATTCGAATCAAAATTTGTGCCTGGAGTTTATTTATATGAACATTGCCAGCAACGACAAAGATATGCACGCCACAAAAGGTGTGTTTGACCAGTTACTTTATAATGTTATGGGATAGAGATTTAGACTACGCGCCAAAGTTCTGCAGCTAACGAGCTCGTCTTCATGCTTTAATCACGACCCACATTCAATACCATTTCAAATTCTTGGGGCATTAATCACTACTTGATTCAACGTTTAGACACAGTACTTGTGAATTATACAGATATCTGTTTACGTCAAAATTTATTAGATCGATTCATGCCTACATACTCCGTGTTGCATATCCCTCCATTATTAAACGCAAACTAAATACAAAAAAAGGAAGCCAAAGTAATTACATAAAATAAATTTAATACACGCTGAATTATTTTCTGGGCCAACACCATTGACTATTCTTTCTTATGATGACCGGAATAGTCATTATCCACTCCATTAGTGCTACCATTTGTCCTCGTCTTTTCCATTGTATCTTTCAGCATTGCAGTCTCTCCTTGCTGCTTTCCTTCGCCCGCAATTCGTCCCTTTGGTAATACCAAATCCAAGAATATAAGCCCGAATACCACGAAATGGCCAACAAAATACACACTTCCCCACGCCTGTATACACCATTCGTATCTCAACAACTCGAAAGCTACCATTGCATAATGTAAGGCGCATGTCTGAAGGAACCAGCACACTACTCTATATGCTCCCCATACAAGCTTTCCCGAAATACCGTTCTTCACTTTCTTTTCGTACAAACTTTTCTTAATAAACTCGACCCTCTTCGACCAACGCTTCTCAGCCTCCATATCTACAAACTCTAGGAAAAAGCACATAAAGTACCCGGCATTTAACCCATGCCAAAGAGCTAAAAAGAAAAGAACACCAAGGGAAGAGATGGTCTTGGATTTGAGAAAGATCAAACGTTTGAAGACGTATATCTTTGCCCATAGGTTAGTGTTTATGTTGAACGACCCAATGATGTCGTTCAGAGAAGTCGCAAGCTCAAAGCGCAGCTATTTTAAGTAGATTGAAGAAAGGCAAAGATAAAAGGAATGCAGATAACGGGTTTGAAAATAATGATTAGTGTAATTCGTATAAACATCCAAAGCCAATATTCATCATTCATTCCACTTTCTACTTACTGATTCGACGTTGGCCAATCCGTTCCACTCTGGTTGTCCGTTGTCATCAAAACCGTTGAATGATATACCCAACAACGCGCACGAACCTTCGACTAATTTCCACACGCCAAGGTACTACACGCGAGAACGAAAAAGATGTGAATATTATAGCGATCATGCTATCAGTATGAATAACGCGTCGTCGTTGTCATTACTGCTTTATATTTTCAGCGCAAAGAACTTAATACACCCGAATACATCCTCACCCCCTCTCTCCTTCCCTTTCCCACTTCCCATTAACATCATTCCTTTACCTTACTGAAGGAAAACTTGCCAACCATCCAAAAGTATGTGAATCTATGCAAAGCGTCCCATTTTGCATACTCCTCGCCCAAAAGCACGTACTGAGGGAAAAACATCTGCCCAATTTGACTGACCAATAGATAAATAGCTCCCCCAGTTATGCATTGAATAGCGTGCTTATATGATCCCCTGGGTATATGTGATTGATCAGGGTACAAGTGCATATTGATGAAGGATTCATAAAGGCGGTATGAAAACTGAGGTCCCGTGAGGAAGCCAGTGAAGAAGTGCGCGTAGGCGAGAGTGGAAATGTAAGAGGGTAGAGTAGGAAGGGCAATGTTCTTTTGGAAAGATATTGGAAGTTTAGGTTGTTTTGCGAGTCGAGTCGTTGATGCGGGCTGGTCATTCGCTGTTGTCTTTTCTGGTTGTGCAGTCTCAGTTGACGCTTTCTTGTTGATCAATTTCGCTCCGTCCATGTAATCCATAGCGAACCCGATCATCCTCAGACATAACACACATTGAGTCATAGTCCAGTTGATATCGTAATCGTCTGTACTCATGTACTGGTATCCTACCAGTAAATAAACCAGGTTAAATACGAATACCGCTGCTGCTCCCAATTTTCTGTTCCCTATTTTATCTCCAATGTAACAGGACATCCAAGTGACAGTCGTTGTAATTAGAGAATGGATAATATCATGGCCATTGTAGAAGTAAGATAAAGATAAGCCAGCTATTAGAATGTATGATTGGCGTATTGATGCTGCAGACTTGGATGCGATAGGCCGTAGCAAGAAAATACGGTAGATAACTGCGATTGGGTATGAGAAAATTATAGTGAATAAGAGGCGGAGAGATGGCTCCGGTATGCCAGTTTGCTCGCTGAGTGTAGTTATGAAAGTCATAATAACTGATAGAGATTGTTAGCTTGCAGAGAGTTAAAAAACGACGCTATTTATTGAACGATTTAATACAAGACAATTGTATCGAGCGAATGTCAGCCTTTTGTATTGTCCAGCCCGATGACGAAATTTTTATCAAGTTTTTTTCCCGCTGATCTACATTCTTTTCTGCTGTCAAGTGATAAATGAACCAATGAGCAATAGTATTAAAACCATAACAATGTCTAGAAAATCAATGCCTAAAAACGAATGACAATAACAAACAAAAATGGCGTAAAAATGCTAGTGCCAGACAATCATTACTAACGCTAATGGGAATTGACTTTATTGCTATTATGCTAAGTAACACCAATCACACGACTCTTTATTCGTTCACTGTTAATGAACTCCGGTATGAATAAGCTTGACTAAACAATTATTCTAATATCTGATAATACTTATGGCAATGACAATACCAGGAGATATTAATGTGATTTTCAAACCGGTCAAGGCATCGGAAATCGACCGAGCACATCAGCTTGAAGCCGACGGTGAGAATATTTAGTAAATTTCACTATTTATTATTATTTGATTGTTAATCCACAATCTATTACTTTTTATCGTTAATCCGCTATTATCCTTACGTAATGCTCGATCACATATTCCGTCTCCAACTCGCCATCTCATCTTTGCCACTTATCAGGCTTCCCAGCGGATGAAGCAGAATCAATTGACAAGTTTAGATACCGTCAAACTTATTGTCCTCACCTTTTCCTCGGAGCATATCTTGCGGATTCTGACCTTCTAATCGGTTACATTGCCGGCACCGGAGCTTCTACTCCAATTATAAGTTTCGACTCGATGAATCGGCATGAACCGGAGGGTCGAACAGTGTGCATACATTCTGTTTGTGTCGACAAAGCGTACCGGCGTAGAGGACTGGCTTCACGGATGATGAACGAATACGTGGGAAGAATAAGGCAGCAAGAGATATACGAGAGGGCGGCGTTGCTTAGCCACCAGCATTTGATTCCATTTTATGAAAATCTTGGATTTACGAATTCTGGTGAGAGTAACATTCAGCTTGGTAAGTGAATTTGAAAATCCGAGTGTTAAAAGTAGCGGAATTGGGAGTTCGGACTGTCGTAAGGTATCTATCAATGTACTGACGATGGTCTTCGTTTGTAGGTAAGGAAAAGTGGTTTGACCTAATAATGGATCTGAGAACAAAGTAGCGTAATTGATTAATTTATAAACCAACCTGATAATTATGAGTATCGTAATTATAAGGTAGGAATGTAATACTGTGATTACTTTATCATTATTCTTAGCTGTTCTTCTCTTTAACCTACCTGCCTATTATTATTAATCATTAGATTTACGAATATGCCATATTTAAATTCAGTCAGAATTCACTTTTAACAGACCTAATCCATTATCAATAAAGATATTTATATTCTCAATTCTCTGTCTCAAAGCGAAATGGAATAGGATTGTATAGCGCATTAGAAGGTGTGATGTATGACGCGGCAATCTGCAAGCTTATCAATACTGGTCAAATTACAATTCACTTATTTCATCATCAATCGAGAAATGTCGTGTCATTCGAAGGTGAACAAGATGCCTAGCTTTTTCCACTGTGAGCAGTGTAAATGGAGAAAGGGAGTAAAGGAAGCGGTATTAGTTTCTACAATGTGTCATCCATGCCAAAAATTTAACAGATTCCCTACCTATATTGATTTCATCTAATATCAACGGCCCGTAATCTCTAGAGATGAAAATCCGTGCCAAAAGTTGTTAGTGACAAAGCCGTAAAAGTGATCGAATTGCTCTCAATGCTTCTTCCACACTTCTGCTTACGGTGACTATGACTTACAAAGTCTGCTGTATCGGCATCTTCAATGCTATGACCTCGGATCGTAGCCATTAGTTCTCACAGCCCAAATATATTCAGACATCCGCAGTTGGCATCTGTTATTGTGGCAATTGTAGCAAATGTGAACACATAATTGAATAAAGATCCTGTTGTAATTGTATTTATTGACTGTTCTCCTAATATCTGGTGAGAACACTAACGGTTGCCGTTCGATGAAATCTGACTGTAGATTTCGAACGAATAATGTTATTTAAAAGTGTGTACAGTTGATACCTATTGTGTGAATGTTTTGGCAAGCTTGCCTATCATCATACTTTGAATCTCCGGAATTACGATTATAATATTTTTTTAGAGACTAATATCAAATCTAATAGTTTGCATTCCTCTGCTACAATGGTTTCGCTATGAGTTTCTGTCTTAGTTTCAGCAGGCTTGACATGTGTACCTCGGTAACTTTAAGTCTTTTGTGAAGTGACTCGCCTATTAACGGCTAATCTTGCAAATAACGCAAACAAAAGTATTGTGTATTTTGTAGTATATTCCTTGACCCAAAATAATAGGGCCTGTGATAATACAGCCTTGGTAATTTGCGCCTGCATTCCCTACAAGGTAGAAAAATGAAACAAAATGAGCCACCATTACGTGTCGAGTTAATAGTCACATCCAAAACTCTTGTCCCTCCTTTACGGTCATTTCATACCTTGTACCAACCAAAAAATCCGTCAGCAATCCAAACTTTCTTCAATACGTCTATTGCTCCGTTGTATCTCACGTCCTGTTTCTTGCTGATAACTCCCTTTCTCTTCTCCGTCGATCTGTCCTCATAATCACTTTCCTCGAGTTCAATCTCGTCTTCAAGCTTCTCTACCGATGATTTCGGTAATTTCCACTGCAGCCTCACTTTTGCCATAATATAAGGATACGTCACAACAGTTGCTATAGTCTTACTCAAAGCACCTAACAGGAAAGCCATTCTTGGTGAAAGATCACCATCTTTTGATCCAATTGACTTCAATCGCTCAAACATTCCGTAAGTAATGGCTGGATTTACACATAACACCATGGAAGGTTTTAGTCCCTTCCATAATCCGGTTATCCCATCTTCACTTATAATCTCTTCCGCTGTCCCTAACAAGTCTCGTCTCTCCTCTTTATCTGCTGTTTGTTGACGCGTAGTTACTACTGATACTGGAATGGTAAATATTTGAGCCAGTATTGCAGCCAGAGCACTTAATAGCAGCTCGGCAGCGGTAGAAATGGTTGGGTACCTCCGTTGATAGCGTGTACGGATGAAAGAATACCAGTAAAAATACGCAAAATTAGTAGATGCAACGCCAATCAGACCAGCTGGCAGGCCAGTGTATAAGCCGAGTAGGCCTTCTGATTTTACGATTTGTTGTATTGCATCAAAAGTTGAGTCGTAATATGGCGTGCTTGATGAGAGAGATTTTGATTGTACCTGGAGGCGAGTTTTTATGCTAGTTAAACGTTGAAAAAGAAAGTGAGAAATTCAAACATTTCTGTACAGTTGCAACACATCTTTCATAAATTATTGTTAGAATAGTACATATGACATTAGGTCTTCGCAATTCCACTCGGCACACAAATACCATTCGTTTAGCTTACATGTCTAAGGGATAAGTGACCGCTAGGGAAAATAAAGCCCCAAGGGCTCCTGCTACGGCATGTCCAAATGGTGATAATTGTTGTTCTGATGATGATGATGGTGGTGGTGGTGGTGGGTTCACAGGTAAAGTTATTAGAGAAGTAGCCATTGGTGATGTCGATGAAAGTGAAAAGGAAAACTTGAGAAGAGCTGTTGTTGTGGAGGTGGGTGGAAACGCATATTATTGTGGAGTATCAACGTATGTAATTGAAGAAAATGATCCATATAAAAATGGGTTCATCATCAGAACTTAGATCATTTCCGTTTTGTTAAGGCTTTAAGATGTCTTTTCTGATTAATTTATTCAGATTCCATTAACTAAATGGTGCTGAACGATTGCAATTATCAAGAGATTCGTCAAAGATCGCTAGGCGGCTTCGCCGTTCTGGCTCATGTAATTTGCTTTCGCCTCACCTTTCAGTAAGTTTTCAAGTGACAATCTCATTAAATAACGCTTGATAATATGATTACATTTACGTAAACTGGCGCAAAAATCCACGTACAAGTATTATCCAAATTTAGTACAGGTGAAAGACCAAACCGAAAGGGGAAAAATCCCTTGCCCTTGATGTTAAGTTTTTTATAATACAAAAAAAAATTTGTCACGGTTGTTACTATTGTCTTGTTTAGAAAAGTCAAGTTCGGGCGGTCGCCCCTTGTGAACAGTTATAATACAAAAATACATTGATGTGTTGAAATGAATAGGTACAAATAATAATACATGCAAATCGATACTAATGATAGTACAACAGCCTCTCTTTAAGTTAAATTATATCACCAAGTCCATATTATTACTATTGTCAATTAATGCTAATTATTATCCCTAACTGTCCATAAATTTCTTGTTTATCGTCCATTATTCATCTGACAGTGATGACAATTACAATGCTCATTGCCTGGAATTAATTCACCTGAAATGTGATGTCTATGCCGAGGTCGAGAATGTTGGATGTGATGCTCCTGATACTAGAAGCCGAATTAAATAAGCAATGACATGTCAACCATACAAAAGTCTAGTATTCAATCACTAAAAAACATGCTCTCTACTTACCCGACTTCCCTCATCATCCCTATACGCCCGGTTTTGTGTTGTGGAATACTCGGTTGGAGAGAAGCTATATCGATGGTAGTCTTTATGAGTGGATACAGGAATACTTCGATGCTCTCCACTGAAGCGAGCGGCCATATCACTCACACGGCCGTATGATGTGGCTGGAAGTTCCGATGAGGAACTTGGCGGCGAGGACTGAAAATAGGAATAGAAGAAATTAGCTCTCAACTAAATCCACTAAATCAAACAAACTCCCACTTTCACAAAAAAAAAAAAAGAGCAACTAGACTCACCACACGCCGATCAGCATTCCCAGACGCCATAAACTTGTCTCTGATGACAGCAACGTAACCATCTTTCTTCGGCAATTCCATAGTATACGCTCTTCGCGAATAGGCATCATAACCTCTTTCCGGTGATCTTTCTCTGTAAGTAGACGACGGCACATTCACAACCTCTTTTCGCGGATACCTTTCGTATCCATACTGTTGCTGTTGTATATCAGGTTCCCTGCGCCTTATAACATGATCATACACCGTATATTCTCCATCATCTTCATTATCTACATACCGACTGCGCTCAGACGGAGATTGAGGATATCGCGTGGGTGACATATTACCGCGTCGAATGGGTTCAGATGGGTGAGATATAAACCGCGATAAAGGCGAGCTTGAAAGAGCAGAGGAGGGAGCAGATTTAAGATCGTCAGGTTCGAAATCATAAAGGCCTTGGTGATGATTCGAATACTGTATTGGCGAAGGTGGTTGATCAAAGTAGTCCCCGCGACCGTCGTCCCGTCGGGATACTGAGCTACGGTAGGGACTACCGTGGAGCGCTTCGTAACGTCGGTAATCAGGCTCTCGTCGGCTGACATCGATTCTGTCCAAATTATTCCTCATAGTAACTCTTTTATCAGCATTTCTGCTTCCATCTTCGTCCACTTCGGCCTCTCCATCGCTGTCTCTCCTTTCCACATCTCTCCTATCCACTTCTTTCCTTTTAACAATCCTTTTCTGAATTTCACCCCTATAATTTTCTTGCTTCATTGTAACACCGAATTCCTTTTGTCTCTCGTCAATCTCATAGTCATCTCCATTCGTGTGTCCATAACCTTTTTGCTCTTCATCCTTGTTAGTCTCAACGGCTTCAGCATTCTTTTTTCCACTATCTTCTTCCTTTTCATTGACTTCTACCTCCAACTTTGCCTTTACCTCTGGCTTAATCGATCTTTGAATAGTTTCAATTTTTTCTTTTCCTCGTCGCTCTCCCCCAGCGGGCTTGGTGCCCACACGAGCAATAGCTGATGTAGCTATATTCAATAGTCTTGTTCGTGTGTTCGGAGAGTTGGATGAAGACTCGGTCGGACTATCTTTCTTGGCATGAAATGAAGAAAAACCAGTGAGGTTGGCTAACTCGGCGGCATAAAGGCGATCAGATTTTTCCATTGTAGCGGCGGATGTAAAGTTTGAGGTTATTGAAGGGGGAGAGGCATTTATTTCTTTCGTCTCGGGTGTGCCATCTTGCCTTTTTCTCGAGTCGCCAGCCGTTGTTGAAGTAGAGAGGTATGTTTCGCTTTCTTGGTCGGATTTAACTACTAGTTTCTCAATTTTCGCTGTGTCGTTCTTCGCCTCACTCTCACCGGCATTGTTGTCATTCGTTTTTCTTTCATCTTCCTCCTGTACCTTCTCAACATCCGTGTTCTCAACCTCTTCATTTATTGTCTTCACGTTCTCCTCCGACTCGGCGTTTTTATCTTTGTCTTTATCACCATCCCCGTTTCCCAAATGTTCTAAATCTCTCCCCAACCCATGTTCTGTAATGACTGACGCTTCTCTGACTTTTCTTCCGACTTCATCCCTCATAAAAGGATGATCCTCAGGATGAATTCCGATCGAAAATCGTGAAATTAAATCTGCTGTCGACTTTACGCTCATGGCTGATTAGGTGATGCAGGAGATGGGGGAGATGTTGGTGAATTAATAAGGGACTCCGCTCGAGGAAGGATCGTCAGTTGAGGGGGAAACTGGTTAGATGAAGATATACTGGAGGTGTCACTGGACTTGCATTGGTGATAGAATCTGATGTACTTGATTGCAAAGAGTCAAGTCTATCAAAGGATAATTTCAACTCAGTCTCAGTAGATGCAGGTTTGACATTAGAGACATTAGACGACGGAAGTTGGATAACGCCGACTGTAGGAGGACGTGCAGGAGGAATGGGAAATGATAGCGATTCCTCTGTGAAAGCGGGATTGGAATCGAGAGACTGAGACGATAATTGCCCATTTGAAGTGAGTTGTTTTGAAGAAGCGGTAGACGAATAAGATTCGCGGGACGATTGATCTCCTAAGAGAGATGATTGTGACGCTTGTGATGCAGTGTTTATTTTTGAGGAAATTTTGTATAGAGATTCTGATTGTGTCTGCCATTAAAGATTTGTTATTATTTGACCGAACGATAAAAGAGCAAGCAATCAAAAGGTAATAATTTCAAAAATTTAAATTTATCGAGGACGCTCATTCGTACCTGTTCAACGTCGTCACCTTTATTATCAGTATCAATTAAGTCATTTAATTCTTGAAGAGGAGGCATATTTTCTCCAGCGAATGGGCCCCCATTCTTTCATTTTCGTGACATTTGGTCCGCATTTCTTCAACGAATCATTAAAAGACGCAAACCGTGCCTCAGCCAGGCGACACACTATCTGCGCTATCGTCGAATATACTTTTCTCGTTGAGTAAGCTGAATTGTATATTCCTTACGTTTTTGGGCAATCTTGACGTTAGCGTAGATATATACTTCTATATAAAGAATGCCATAAGTGAAGTAGCAGAATGAGTAAAATCATTTTGGTGAATACGGTCTACTTACTTCATGGGATTCAACAACAGCCTTGTTATCCCTCTTTGTTTGTTTTTCATAGTCCTTGCCAGTTTTTTTTACTAGTCTGTCGAGATCGGCCACGCTGTTGTCATGAGCTCGCTCATTTTTCTTTTAAGAATTTCAATGGTAATTTAAGGCATTCATATTTACAATTACACAGATAAATGAATGTTAATCACCAAGACAACGTAAGGACTTACATGCTCATAAAGTTTTGGGATTGTCACCTTTTGATTTTATCGTGACTCGTACTAAGTACATTCGCCCAACATTCTCCGCTAGTACTAATATTAATAACTCGGAATCTACTCGTTTAGCACGAGGTTTTAATACACGGCACGATTTGATAATTTGAGAGTAGTGCTGGTAATCTTATTATGTGACAGTGATGCAGACTTTACTACTTATAGTAATAATAAAACCGTCGTTTAGCTTCAGAAATCACGATTCTCACATTAGCTCCAAACTTTTTTGATGTACATATATGAATAGGGTATCTGTCACCGACAATTAACTTACCAAAAAAGGAGGATGGCTAAAGCGGAGTAGAACGTGACCTGATTCTTGCAATTACATTGGTCAAATTTGTTTATCAACCAATGAAATTGTAAAAAACTACTCCGCTTTAGCCTACCCCCAAAAAAGGATAACTTCGAAATAATGTTGGTGAATATTTGTGATTGTCGATTCCCCTTATTAAGACATAATCGTTGTTGCGCTGAAGGCGAAAATTGCGTTGATTAAAACGAAATCGGAAGTTTGGGGTCTTCTTGGATCCTCTTTTAATGTCTCTGAAACCCACATATACTCTTCTATTAATTTTCATTTTAATCCGATTTTAATCTGTCACAATATTTGAAAACGATCTGCTCGCTGATATGTTGAAGGAAGAAACGATTAGGGATCAACAATGGACGGCGTTGTGGTATACAATAATTACAATTCGACTCCAAGCTTTGCCACATGTACCATCAGTTGACATTACATTTGCGCTTGAGCATTCCTTCCTGCGAGTGATGAGACATATGTTCTATGTGTTTTAAGCATCATATAAAAAGACTGTTTATTTGCAGCACAATCGGACTTGTCATTTGGGGAAGATAATAGCCCCTTACTACTTTGTCTTCATTAGACTATTTGCCACCGCAACAATCATTTTGAAACCAAAATCAGAAAAATACAACATTATTCAAACTCAAAACGAAACGATTATGTAATTTTATCTTTAACTTTATTAATATTAAGATTTACATGATTGCATATTTTACAACATTGAATTCGCGTTGAGGATCGTTCCTGCAGTTCTTTATATTTGCAGAAGGAGCCGGTGCTAGTCATACAGAACTGTCATTAGTTGTGCGTAAGCTTAGATTAAAAGGCTCTTTAAAGGGCTCTGACATACAACATCTTCGACGACATTTCTGCAGTTGGCATTGATAGAATGCCGATGTTGTATTTTATTTTGGTAAGGTGTGATTACACAATGAAGGTATCAACGTACAATACATGAGTGATGAATATTATTCATGAGAATAGCAATGGCGTATTGCGAGTTGGAAAAAAAACTCTTAAATATTTTATGGGATAAATAAGGGTTTAAAATAGAAACCAAAACAGAACAAATATCACATCAATTATCACAGTTGTAGTATTATTATAAATATACATGATAATACAAGGTAGTAATTGTTGATTTATATATTATATCAATTTATATACGATGTTTCATTTTCGCCGAGATAAGCATTTGCATGACTATGATTTTGTTCGCTGCCACACAAAGAATTCTTACCCCAAACTATTGCGTGAAAAGAAAATACCAATCGAATTTCTAATGATGGGTGTGCAAATGCACGGTATTTGGCCAGGGTATCCAGAGACGCCACAGAACTACAGATGCCATGATATAGTATTGCTTGTGATGAATGCGTTTTACCGACTCAATCACCGAAGAATTCAATCGGCTGATACACCATAATTTGATTCTCTCTGGACGCTCTTCAAAGAATCTGTTGCGTATGGTATACATCTATTGCCACATTTGAATGTTCAAAAGAGTTCTAGCAAATCAACAATATTAATTTTAATAGGCAGAACTTTAATTTGTCAAGAGTAAATTTTAGGGAAAGGTTGAGTAGTTGGCATGAAAATACTGGCAATGGCTGCGTATTGAGCTAATTAATCTCTTCGAATCTATAGTCGATATTACAGGTTTTTCGGTTATCACTGTATTACGCGAGAATGAGATTTTCATGGTCACGACACGTTTTATTGAACACATGATCTATGCTAAATTAGTTATTTTGTACACAGGATACGCGTATAACATATGGCGACTCAAAAACAAAAAATGTCTTCTACTACTAAAAAACTTCTCTCTAATTATTTTAAAGCCCATGATAACAAAACCCCGTTAGTTGACCCTGACGGCGTTTTTAACTTTTTTAATTGGCAAAATACATCTCTACTCTTACCGATAACCCTTTTGTTGGTCGAGTTCCTTCCCCCCTCCAAATCCCTTCTCTCCCTAATAAGATTATCTTCGAGAAGACCCATTCTCATAACAAACAAGTTTAGGCAATAGCAATCCTGTGCCCAACAGATAGCTATTGCTGCTGGAATTCAACGACCTCCGCAGCGTCAGTTTTTTCCCAGAAGAAAGTTTTCTTCAACTGCAACTGTTTGATTTTGACTAGTCGTTGGACAATAGACTCGATGGCTACTGATGACTCGACAACTGCTATGTAAACTGACTCTAGAGACTGGGCCGACAAATGGACGCATATATAAGTAAAATTCTTGATCGTCGAGGACGAATCTTCCTTTCAAAAACATCTTTCCAGCTCTCCTATTACCTTGAATGACAAAACCGTTCACCTCACCCCACCAAGAGATTTTCCCAGACAAACCCTGGTTATCCATCTTCATGGACTCCCTATTGTTGAAAAAGAAATTATCGGCACTTCTATTACCAAAGCCAATATTGCAATGTTAAACAAGTTGCACCAACCAGTTGTTATCACTGACATTTGATATTCTTACTACCAAATGGGATGTCATTGTTGAAACCATTACTGACAAAAATATTCCTGTATGTACACCAAGTTGTTCAATCATCAAATCAACATCACCAACTCTGTCTTATACAAACATCTCCGGCTCTGTGACACATCGGGACTTTGTCAGATTTACTTAAACGCTCACTTCATTACCAGAATTTCGTTAATTTATAATAAACCTCGATGACCAATACATTCACTTATCAATAACCTCATGGCTACCGAAAAACGTCGAAACAAACGCTCAGTAACAAAAAACGACGTTATTAATCTCGACGGAATTGCGCAGTGCAGATTGTGCGCAGCAAGAATGACCATATTAGGACGAAATTTCTGACCAACGTCCAAAAAGTCGATATAACGGACCGTCGATATAACGGATTTTGCCTTATACGGACTTTTTTGTTGGAACGGAATTTTTACCAAGTACTATAGCGGACTTTTATATTAAACACTGATATAACGGATAATCCGGACTAATTTGCCCGAACACATTTAATTTAGCTTAGCTCGATATAACGGATTTTGTGTAACGAAGTCCGTTATACACAATTAAAGATTCTTCGCTACACATATCTAGCAAATTTACAAACTTAACATAATGTCGACTTATGGCCCTATCACGCATTGAACAAAAGAGGCAGACAAATATTGACAAGTTTTTACATTCGAGTCTTAAGTTGAATTTATCGTTAGGTTTTATGCCACATATTAAAGACCGTCGTTATAACGGATTTTTTGCAAGTTTAGTTAAGAGTCCGGTATAAAACTCACTGTTCGATGTAACGGGCCGTCAATATAACGGACAAAAGTGCTGGTCCCGAGCGGTCCGTTATATCGACTTTCACTGTGTATATCGAAAATTTCTGATAACGCGAATACAACGTAATCTCCTCATTTATCCGAAAATTCAGACAATTTAGTGAGACAATAATTAGTTATAAATACGAGTCGTAGTGAGTAGCTAATCTGTTCTTTAGATCACATCTTACGTTGCTATTAGGATAGTTTCTTTTATTCTAATAAAGATCATATTTAATTATAACCATTGTTATTTCGTTTATTCCCTGGTAATAAGATACTTGCGTATCGTTGGCGAAGTGTAAGCCACTTTTCCCGTCATCAGCGAATAGGATTGATACTTGCCAATCGATTCTATTCAGTACTTTTGCACCAGGATTATTGTTTGATTCAACGTTAGTGTAGAGAGATAATTTCCCCGACCGATAGGCTCTGAGACTAATCCCATCAGAGAAATGCTCGAGTATAAGACCTAGTTCAGAGGTCACTAATTGTCATTAGTATTTGGTTTGAAGTAGGAAGAGCAAAAGCTTCTGTCGGAAAAGAACTAAATCCCAAGGCTAGTACACCGCCGCTCTCCCAGGTGTAAGCTAGTTCGACATAATCCAATTCAAACCACTCATGCTCTCTCTGACTAACTAACACATCTGTCTAATACTAACACCACTTCTGCTTCAGTAAATGACCCATCTTACCCCAATCTTGTCATCATTATCAATGAAACTGATTCTATTACCCAACAAGAATTGAACAAATTATGACTGCAGAAAAGATAATGATTCAGATACTAGCTCTATTACTTCTGATATGGCCACTGATACACAACACAAAGAAGATAATCAGAATACT